TGTACTTGTGAGGGTGTAATGACTTGTACTGACTTAGACCTACTGTAATCCCAAACCACCCCCTATGCTCTACCGCTATTGAGTGTCTCACCCAAGGAAGTCACACTTGCAGCTGTGGAGGGCACATTAATGAAGGTTTAAATGACGGGGACAGCCTCTTTCCTCCACCGATCCCCTTTCCTATTGGTTTCCATGTACAAACCCATATGGATCTTTAGAGTTAAATAAACTCCATTGTGCATGTGCGTAAAGCCAGCATTACGTTTTTTCTCTTTACTCCTTACCTTCATCTACTGGCTTCTGGTCCTTGGTGGAGGAAGTGGCACTAAGACATGTAATGTGCAAAGGTACTGCTGAGCCCTTAACGAAGATGACCACCAAAAACAAAACTATGGAAACAAAGATGTGACGAAGGTCCATAATGGAAATAACTACATCAACAGACATGACTGAAGAAAATAAATATGAGGGGCAGGCACAAAAAGTAGCTAAAGTTGAGGATGAATGGAAAAGTATGGGTTTGTTTACAAAACAGGCGGCTTCTTCGTCCACTACCAAAGCGTTTCTGGAAAATTACACAATTCTGTGCGTTCTTAAATGATTTAATCTAATGGAACGCTTGGTACATGTATACACACCTCATTATTGGATCATTTTATTTTAGTGTCCATGTAAATAGAGATTTGGAATTTTCGATCAACCAAGCTTTCCATCAGATTGGGGAAATTTAAATGTGTAGCTAGTGTGACAAAGATGCAGGAAACCATTGAAACTTTCATTTAAATGTGTCCCCTCACCCTACTCACTATTGGGTTTGGGATGGCCCTTATTATGGTGGAGCCTAATGGAGACTACAGAAGGTTAGTGCTTAGGGATAGGGTTTAGGGGTCAGTTTGGGACTGGGCCATAGTAATACTGGGCAGTCTGCAGAAACTGGCTTTAAGAACAACTCCACTACTTCCTGAACTTAAGGCAGCTCCTTAGTGTCCTTAATTTTCTACTAATTAATCCAGGTATGCCTGACCTCGGTAACCATGGTCAGACACACCTGGATTAATTAGTTCATCTAGTAATGAAAGAAAGGAAACAAAGGAACTGCCTTAAGTTCAAGAAGAAGTGTAGTTGTGCATAGAGCCCATTAGATCTGGATAAAATCTGTATAAAGTTAAAAAGAATGTACGACATGATATGAAGACATTGAAAACAATGAAATCATCCTGCTAACTGTTAGCTGCTAATTATACAAACTTAGCATTTCTACTTCTTTCCAAGGTTCTATGTTTATTGCTAAATAACCTAAAGGAATCTTACCATCAAACTTAACATTTCTTTCATATTTCTGAAGTATAAACAAGAATAATTTGAATGAGCTGATAAAACAGATGACAGTTAAACACAAGGAAATAATAGTGTATACCTACTGTACCTACTGTACCTTTAAATGAGAAACATGGGTCTGGGAATTGAATTATACTTAGTCTGACTGTAGCTGCTCTTCCATTACTAAAGTGTGCCAATATATTTTGCAATTACAAGTGTTTCCATTAAATAATCGCCTTCCTACGACTTTCTCCGCTGACGTCTTAGACTTTTTTGCCTGCAGTAACATCTTGTTGCTTGTTATGACTCGTGATGTGAAAAAAGTGTTTCCATTGTAGTTTTGTCAAATTTTTGTAGGACCAAAACAACCCCCAAAAGTTTGAGTTTTTCCATTGAATACATTTATTTTCATTGTTATTATTTGCACAACTTGGAAATACAGCTTGTGTTGCAGCTTAATGGTTGGAAACAGTTGGATTTATTAACTATTTTGTTCATAGCTAAGGTATCTGTTAGTTACTGTTAGTGAATTTCTTGGAGTACTATAAGTTGGTTAGTTTGTGTATTTGTGTTGCTTTTTTTCCAGGGTTGTATTAGTTAAACGAAAATGTCTTTTCCAGCTGTTTGTGTTTTCAAACTCAGTAGCCAAATCTTCACTATACGAGGTACAGTGTGAGTGAAAGATACAATTAAAATCTACATTTATAGAAAAATGTTTTTACATTCAATATTCATACATTTGTAATGCATGTCAGCTATATTGGCTTTCAAGTTTTGGGTTAGTGATTCAATTTGACTTTCCTCTCTGGAAATCTGGCTTCTGCCAACATTTCTTATATTCAACTTTTTTTCTTAAAAATTGAAAATTTAAACCTTTAAGTAAATACAGCATGACGTATACTAGGTTTCCTTTAACCCTGCCGATGAAAGTCAACTTTACTGTGTTTTTCTTATTTATTATTTTCTTACTTTTTCTGAACACAATAGTTCTGAGTTTCTTCTTGTTATAATCTAAATAGTGCTGGCAGTTAGGAAAGAGCTCAGACGAGGAAGCAGGATGCTTCCTAGACCCAATTAATTAAGCATGCTCACGCTCCTAGCTGCCCCTAGGAGCTAGATGGTTGCCCACAATTCTTTGCTAACAGGATGTATAGACACAGCCCACCTCAATGAGTTAAACAAAACCACATTATTTCTTCACATGTACTGTGAGTGACACATACTAATGCACACACTTTCATATGTTTTGGATTCTATGAGGGAGAACTTTAGCCATTTACTACTTGTGCGGCAGACGAAATACTGCGATCCCAACTTCACCAGTGTCATCTATATCATCTATGTGTATGTCCATATTGTATTGACATCTTTAAGGCTTAGGGCTGTCTGGATTCAGCAGTCCAGAGCTCCTTTCCAACCCTGGATAGTGTTTTTACTGTTGTTTTTTGTGTGTGTTTTACTTGCAAAAGATGAAGAGTGAGGAGCTAGGAACAAGAGATAGGAGACAGAGATGGGGGATCTGGAGTCAACAAGACATCTCTATGTCATGTATTTATTCTGCCTAGCAACTGAACCAGGTGAGTCCAATCTGCACAGGTTAATTCACTCTGCAGATTGGACTCACCTGGTTCAGTGGCTGGGTAGAACAAATACATGATATAGAGAAGCTTCATTTTTCAAATTTCGGTAAAATTCGACCTCTTGTTTTTACAACCTGAGCATTCGCCCTCTATTGGCCAGTCAGATTAAAGCAGTTCTTCATTGGCTTAAATGCTCACATCTTTTAGGCATTTCATCAAAAACACACCACAAAGGTCTGATTTCAAATGGTGCCTTTGAAGGTGCGATGGGTTGAAGAGCGAGTATAAAATGGTGGTGAATTTTTTTTAAATTTTTTTTTGCTGAGAACATTGCTTCCTTTTGTTAGATGAAATACATAGAGGCTTAAACAAAAGAAAAAAAACTGAGTACTGCAAGAATTTAGAATTTAGTTAAAGTGCAAATGGGAACATTTCCAAAAGCTCCACTGCAAAGAGCTAAATCCGAACAGCCCCAATACTCACTGTTTCTTTGGCTTTGGTTTACAGATCAAAAAGAGCAACATTGTTGGGTTAGTCAGTGAAAAAGCATTTACATATAAATTATTAGCATACTTTTTTTGCCTGGTTAAAATTGTTATTTTTTTTTACTGGTAATAACACCAATCTATAGGGGTCTGGTCTAAAACTCTTATGTAAAGTAGCATCACGTTACAGATGCGAGAAATGTCTCCCTGCTCTGTGCTTTACTGCTTCCTCTAAGTTGCATGAAACAAGCAATACTTTAATAAAGAAGTTTAAATGCAGCGTATATAAACGAAGAATTCCCTTCATGCTGCCCTAAACCTGCAGAGATCAGGGAGTTGGCTATATCTTGGTCAGCAGTGACTACATTATTCATGTGTGTGATTCCTCTCAAGTCACCTAGGATTTGGGCTCTCCGTCCAGCAACCTCCCATGACCCCCCCGTGCCCTCCACTCTTCATCACACACTCTCTAAGTTGTTCACGTGACATGAAGCTACGCTGGGCTCCATCAATTAAACATGAGAGACAAGGACAGGTGGAGTTCACTGCACTTTCAACCAACGTGCTGCTTCTGCTAGAGAGATGGATCATGACCTAGAACTCTTAGTCTTTCTATCATACATCTTTTGAAAACATTCATATTATCTTTGGTGGTGATGTAAATGCACTAAATGAGCTGAAACTTTCCACTGAATTTAACATACAGTATAAACCTAAAAAGTATGAACAGTAAAAAAAAAAAAAAACTCATTGTCATAACATTTAAAACCCTTAATACCTTAAAAGCTGTTTCTTTTTATTGAGTTGAAAAGATTTAAGGTAAAAATCTGTAGTTTACTGTATTTATGCTTAATAGCAGCAGGTTGTTAATTTTTTATTGTAAAAAATGTATTTAGCTCTATACCTCTTCTCTACTATAACATTTCTAGCTTTGATTGAGAAAAGCATCCCCACAGAATGATGTGGCCCCCCTTATGTTTCAACATGTGAATGGTTCGCTCAGTCTGATGTGAAGTGTTAAGTTTTCTCGTATAAGCCATGTGGAAAACTTCCAACTGGATGCCTTATCTTTGCAATAGTTTTCCTCTCAGTAAGTTTTTGTTCAGGCCAGATTTGTCTGTTGCACATCTAATGGTTGCCCTGCCAACGTATTCTACCAACAAAGGTGTAAATACTTGCATGTCCTCCAGTTTCCATCTGCCTGTCATTTTTTTTGTAATTTTCTCCTTGTAAATTTTGCAGCTACACTTTCCAATCATTTTACTATAATTGTTTGAAGAGAAGTCTCTGAGATGCTTGGCATGTTTATTTAATTTTTTTTTTTACGCTGCTTTGCAATTGAAAAGGGTAAAGCTGATTTTATTCATGTGAATAAAATTCAAGACTTTTCAGGTTGTGTTTACTAAAAAAAAAACAGATTTTTATATTAGATTTGGACTGATAAAACCCAATAAGAAATCATTGAAAAAATGTCAAAAGGCCCAGTGTTTTCAAGATGTGATATATTCAAATTTTCACACCCAAATGTGATTTCTGTCTGGATCGCTTTTTGCATGTGTTCCCTCATCTCCTCTGAGTTAACTTCCTTTTGACCAAATGTGTTTTACTGTTGCAGGTGAAGGTCTGGTTCCAGAATCGCCGGACCAAACAGAAGAAGGACACCACCAAGGATTCAGACAAGCGCTCCTCCTCCACGTCAGAGTCTTTGGCAACCTGTAACATCCTGCGTCTCCTGGAGCAGGGCCGGCTCCTGTCAGGACCTGCCCCACCTCCAAATTCCCTCCTGGGGCCCCCAGCCCACCCCACGAACGGCTCCCTGTTGAGCAGCCCCGGTGGGGGCTCCTCTTCCTCCCCGGGAATCAATAGCAGCACCTCACCCAGCTCCTTAGCGGGCGGGACATTCGGGCTCTCACTGCCATCTCTGGGCGGCACTCCATCGTCGCCACGACTGGGGGTACCGCCCCCACACTCCCTCTGCTTCTCCATGCCCTTACTAGGGGGGGCCCATCATGAACTGACGTCCACATATGGCTGCGGGTCCTCGGCCTTCGAGCCATACATGCGATTAGACAGGAAGGAGGCAGATCTAGGTGGGAAGAAAACCGTTTCCTAAACGGTGAGGCCGTCTTTCAGGAGCCAAAAGGAGGATTTGACTATACGAGCTTCATCCTGCCACTGGACAGGCAAAGAAAATATGAAACAGTGACAGGGTTGCTTTGTAGCAGCACTATTTTGTGAAAAATGACACTCAAAAAGTAAAAAAAAAAAACACTTGATGGAAAGTGTTAAAAAAATTTTGTTTTGTTTTAATTACCATATGTGGCAGACAGTTCTCATCATCACTCTCTCTTTCCAGTAGTTTTAAGTGACTCTTTGCTTTCTGTCCAGTGAGTTTGTGTGTATGTGTGTGATTTCCTCTCTCTCTTTATGGGCCTTCATTTACTGTTCATTGAAAAAAAAAAAAATTACAAAAAATAACAAAACAAAAAACATACCTGACATGAATAATTTGAACCCATTATCAGCAGACCACCTGTAACAGGACCGCCACAGTACGGCGTTACCTATTCTCCTGTTTAAGGTGTATTCTTGTACATTTTTTAAGCTGTAACAGGTTCTGTGGTGAGGCTGGTAAGAGACGAGCGGTAATTACATCTTAATATTCTTGTTCAAGTGGCCATGTTTGATTTTTAGTTAATGTGCTATCACAGTAGAAAAGAAACACATGAAAAAAAAAGAACCGTAGCATCTTAATATCAGTCTGTTTGGTGTCCAGATGTAGTTTTTGTAAAACCGTCTTTTTTTGTTTTCTTTGTTTGTTGATTATTATTTCAATTTTGGTTGTAAATGAAACAGTAAATGTTAGGATCCAGATGAACGGTGCAAACTTACAGTACATATCTAGATCTTATGTGTAAACGTGAAAGGAAATGAAAACAAAGATGAGGGTGAGAAAGATAGTGAGGAAGCATCCCACGGAAAAAGCTTTGGAGGTGGATGAGCTAACGTTTATCGAGGTCAAGCTTCAAAGAAGGAGAGAGGGAGAAAGAGAAGACCTCTGAACCAAGACTAACGTTTGATTCACAAGTCTTACAGCTTTTAAATCAAACCCCGAAAGAGTTCACAGAACGAAAAATAATCCATTTACAGAGAATATTTTGTAGAGTTTTGCTCCTGCTGTCTTTTTGAGGCTCGAGCTGCAGCTGCAGGCGGCGGATCGACATGTCGCTCCGTCGAAAATTCATGTCCAACAAAGATACTGGCTCCAATGAAAGAAAACTCTAAAGAGACACCAAAATATTAGAAAAAGTTTCATTTATTCAGGTCATTGTAAAGAACAGAATTAAAGAAAAGAAGATAAAGTATTTCCCTCCAAAAATATATAGGGCAACATTTTTCCTGTTATCCCTGAGGCTGTTGCAAAGACATGGATTTTAACATGTGGGAAAATCAACGGTTTAAATTTATTGACACACATCTAACAAACATAAGGAGGATGCATGGGCGGTTCTAGAAAGGGGCCAACAGGGGCCAGTGCCCCTTTAGAACCAGTCCTGGCACCTGTTATGGCCCCTTGACTGAAGACAAATTCTGTTCTATATGATGGCATGCATTTGTGCTGAAACAGTAACTAATTGGTTCCTTGGATAAAAAAATGATATATTGAATTTGAATTTAAAATTGATTAAAAAAATTTACGTGTTGCACCATTAGCTCCAGCTGTATGTAGATAGGAGCACCATCTTCATCTGCTAGATCAGGGTCCTGTGGTCTTCTGATTTTTTTTCTTCTTTTAATTCTGCTGCTCTGTGCCCCCCATGAAAAAACATTAAAATGTCTAGAACTGCCACTAGGAGGATAAATTGAAGAAATGAAATATTTCTACTTACACCGTCATATTTCGCTGCTTCTTTAATCCATTAATATAGGCAGAGAATGTAGGTCAGCATACATTAATGGTGATGAGTTATTACCAATCCTAATAATATGGACTATAACAGGTTATATCTTTTGAGATCTAAAATCAGATCTGATATTTCACAGGAATTGATTTGTTACCCGTGTTACTCTACTCTGACACATAAAATCTAATTATTTGCAACAATTAGCAAGCCACATAAACAATCTAAATGGATCAAAGATAGGAGATATTTCTAAATGGTCTGAATGTGGTAAAAGCAGCTTTAACTGCCGCTAGGAGGTATTTTTTGGAGAGATGGATGCAATCTGTAGGCGCTTTTTTGATGGCCAACTGGAGCAGCCATTTGTTAAAAACATAGAAAGCAATAGAGACTTTTACAGCTGTCAAAATCTTTTGTAACACCAAAACAATTCTCTTAATTTATCGGTAGAGAAAAAAAAACATACTAACACTAAATTGGTGATGATATAAGAAACACGGGGACGGATTTATATTTAGTCTTTCCAGCCTCCTCATTTGATGTTAACTGTAGGAAAATAAATCACTAGATGCGTTTCTATTAACCCTAAAGTTGCGCAAATCGTAATTATGAAAATGCATTTACTAAATGTAAACACTGCAGTATTGAAAAGAAACCCGGCAATTGCGAAGATTTGCATTTTCGATTTTAGCAGAATATCGACATAGTTTTGTGCACATTTGTAATTAGAAATGCAGCTACCAGTTGAAGCAGCAAGCCTGTTTTTACCTAAAGGGGATTTTTAAAATGAACCTGCAAATTTTAAAAGTTAAGCTTCTTCTGAATGAAAGAAAAAAATGAAACATTTACACAATTACAGCTGTGCTCAAATAGGTAGCTACAAAGTCTTGGTTTAACTTTTTTAACCTCCAAACTCTTAACAGATGTCTCAAAAACAAATAATCTTTCAGTAGCATTGTCAGGAATACATTAATAGAATAAGACTTTGACAGAATGGATATCAGCTGGTTAATTAGTCAGGCTATTTGCTGGTTTACAAACTGCAGTCTGCCATTTTTGCTCATAGCTAACAGTATTTTTGGCCATTGTATTGGTAGGTGTGAAAAGTGGGGTCGTTTAAGATGCCATGGTGCTCTGGATAAGCCAGCTGAGATATTGTGCAGCAACAGGTGAGGGAGGGGCAGAAAAGTGTAATTACATGCTTGATGTGGTGTGAAAAAACTAATTTACCTCTGAGTATTTACCTAATTAACTCAAAAGAACAATAAGATGCCAAGCTTTAACCCTTTACCTCAACAGTTTTGTCTTTGTAGGATTTAAATCAAAATCTTTAAAAATCTTTAAAAGTATAACTTATTATACCCTGATAACAATGATCAGCTCTTGCTTGTCGAGATGCTTTGCGCCGCATCACAGGAACAATACTACAGTGTTTTTATTTTATCTGCTTTTTTGGGGTTTTGTTTTCCACCTCCCATCACACTTTACCTTGGTCCTTCCTTTCGATTGCTCTTTATTGAAAGCACTTTATGGTTTTATTTATTTTTTTCACATCCCACTTGTTTCATCTTTTCTTTTAGGTTATATTAGTTGAAATTGGAGCCATTTAGTGAAGAAAAAATGTTTCACATTTTCGGTTCACATTTTAAGGCAGTTTATTTGTAGAAACTGGGACTTTCATTATTGTAGTCCCTCTGCTGGTGTTATAATTACTACACTTTTTCTAACTGAATGATTGGAAGCTAAGCTGACCTGCATGTGTTTGAATTGGGAGATATTACATTCATTCAGGGTACAGAGAAGGAAAGGAAAAGGAAGAATCACCTGTTTCATGTTGTTTTTCTTTCTCATAAAAAGCAATTCGTCCAGGTTTCCTTCTTGTCCGACTCACCCACAAAAACCTGCAATTTGCAACACTTTGCCCTCAATTTGTGGGTGTCATTTGAGTTTTCTTTCCCCTTTTCACTCCTGTTTGTCATCGGTTTTCCTTTGAAAGTTTTTTCCTTTCTCATGTTATGTGTTTTTCTTTTTATTATCGCTTTCTCTCAATCTAAGGCGTTTCAGCAGCAAAGGAAAAAAAAGCAAAAAGCAGAAAGCCACTGCCGTGACATCAATTTATAAAACGCTTAGGAGTAAAGGCAGGTTGAATTTTTCAGATAAATTTCCCGTGCAGCACATGGAGAGGATCTGACCTCGGTCTGTCGGCTCGCGGGGCCTTTTTGCACCCATGTAGCAGCAGCTTGTAGCTGATAATTTTTGAGCACAGCAGTACTGCAAAAAGAAGAAAAAAAACAACAACAAAAACACCCACTCTATGCTCTTTGCAACAGTAAACCTGTGCTCTGGTTGAACACTGTATTATTTTCTATAAGCACCATCCATTATTCACACGTTCTTGTATCAAATATTGAGGAAGTGAAATGGAGCTGAGAGGTCAGGAGGCCTGCTTCTCATGTAAAACCGCCACCCTCCTCTGCAAATCACTCTTCTCATGCCGTATCTCTCCCTTCACAGCATAAAAACAGCCTCTGTTGTCTTTCTTTTCTCGTTTGCTTCAGTTACGACTCGCTGCAAAACCTATTTATTAGTGAAACCTGCTCAGTTTCAGTCTCAGCCGCCATGATTTGTAAATGAAGGGAAAAAAAATACAGGTTAAGGCTTTTCACAGTTCTTGTTTTTCTCTTAAGATGCAGCACTGACTCCTTTTTATCTCATTGATCGATGGTGTTTTGTAATGTATATCTGCTGTTATTGTATCGTGTGCTCAGCTCTGAGGGGCAGGAAAAAGGGTGAAGGAGGAAGACGCCGCCTCTTAGCGTGTAAAGAGAAAAACCTGATAAAGCCTTGCTTCAGTTAGACAAAGCCCTTTTCTAGTTTATCTGTTTCTTCTCATTCCAGCTGAGAGGAAGTGTTTTCATTTTGATTTAAAAAAAGATGATATGCCACAGGCTTGTATGGGCCTCTCCATGTTGATTTGTTGTTGTTATTTTTATAAAGCTTTTGTTTTAATTTCTCACGATGCACAGTCAAGGTGCTGCAGAGGCTCTTGACTGCTTTCTTTGAGCAGTAAAACAAACCTGAAGTCAAGCTAACAGCACCAGCTACTACTTGTGACGAGCATGTACATAGATATAAATTTATATATAAATATATATATAAATCGGTCTTTGCACAAGGTATCTCCGTGTCTGCTCTGTGTGATTTTACCAGCAAATAAAAAAGCAAAATGTGAAAGAAAGCGTAGGTAAAAGAAACAAAAAAAAGACTTTATATATGCTTTACAGTTCATTGTCTCATTAACATTTTGCACTTATTTAAAGAGGCTTTCTTTGGTTTTTGGGCTGATGGAGCTGTTTTCATGCTCTGATATTGTACAATATGTATATGTATTTTTATTCATATGCATATAAATATATGTCTATGTAATTTGACTCTTGTGTTCTGCCTGTTTCTCTCTGCCATCATCAAGGCCAGAAAAGTAAATTTGCAACTCTCTGCTCTGTCTCTATTCATTCTTTTTTATGTCTTATGTCTGTGCATTAGCCTGCTTTATTATAGCTTTGGAGTTTATTCATGCAGCAAATGAAGGCAGGAGACATTTAAGCTCTTTTAGTATAAACAAGTTATCTTTAAACGTAATATGCACTTTCAGCTATGTTATTCATTGGAGGAAACCATCAGAAATATAAGGTTAGACAAGCATTAAATCACTTATAAATCTAACAAGTGAAGAAACACGTTGATAGGAGCATTTGTTTAATGCAAATTGAGAAAAACTGTTAATTTAAGTCATCAGATTTTTTTTTCCTAAAGAGTATTTTTGTTGGTTTAGAATGTATCTTCCAATTTTCAAGACATACAGCAAGTGTTCTTGTTAAACAGCTAAAATAGATTAAATGTGAGGATGTTTACTCTAAGTTTGATAGGAAAAATATAGTCAGTGAACTAAGCTTCTTTCATAAACTGCTCTTTTTTCTTTTTAATTCCAACTTCAATCAATCAATCAATCAATCAATCAATCTATCTATCTATCTATCTATCTATCTATCTATCTATCTATCTATCTATCTATCTATCTATCTATCTATCTATCTATCTATCTATCTATCTATCTATCTATCTATCTATCTATCTATCTATCTATCTATCTATCTATCTATCTATCTATCTATCTATCTATCTATCTATCTATCTATCTATCTATCTATCTATCTATCTATCTATCTATCTATCTATCTATCTATCTATCTATCTATCTATCTATCTATATCCCCTCTTTCCTTCCCTTGTATCCTTTCCTTTACCCATTCATCTGTCCCCTGTTTATGTATTTTCATCAAACCTCCCTTGCCACCGTGGTTTATATCTTGCAGGTCTTCTTTTTGTCTGCTTCCTTACTTCTAATTTCTAGAAATAATCTTGTCATTTCTCGTTAAAATGCCTCCACGTCAAACATAATAAAAAACCAATTCAGTCCGACCATCACAAGTGTAAACATTGAGAGTTAAATAGATTGAGCCCACACTGTAACTGCACCTTTGTTCCCTGGTTTAGATCAGATCGCAGTCAGGAACCTTTTTAATTAAAAGAGCTTCTTTATACTTAAAAAAAACCTGTAAAGAAATTAGACTTTACTGATAAGTGCTGCATGAAATCATTTATTTTGAAAGTCTTGAAAGAGCACAATACCATGAATTATTAGAGATACTTGAACATGTAAGATAAACATCTGGTAACTGAAAATTGCATTTATAATTAATCTTTTAGTAGGATAATGATCCCGGACTTGTCATTGAATAAATAAAGAAACTGTTAATCAGAAAGTGAGTCTTCTTCCAGAGCCACAACAGTTCAAAGATATAAATCCTGTAGAAGACCTGTGGTCTGAGCTGAGGAGGGGATGGAATAAGGGAAGATCCAAGGCTTTGGATGGTTTTTGTGAAGGTCAAAGGTCCCTATGGCTCTACCATAGAAGTGCTAAAAATGAGGGCACAAAAAATATTAACCAAAAATGGATCAATAATTGTACCCTTAGTTTTTTAAGAAATAAGTTTTGGAAACAAACCCTAACAGGTCGGTTTCAGGCCAAAAGGGGCAACTCCCACAATTTTTTTTTCTAAATTCCTAGAAAGATCAGGTTTTAATTGTTTCTAATACAACTTACATAAATTTCCTGTTCAAATTTTTAGTCATCCGTTTCACAGCAACCAGAAAACAGGCTTAAATCGATTACATTCAGACTTTCATTCGCTTCTTTTTTGGAAAAATAACATTTTTCAAAATTAGCACTTTTTTTTAACCAGATTCTCTTTTATTAGGTGAAAAACAGGTTTGGGATAATTTATGTACATCTGGTTAAATTGTACAACAATGACAACTCTAAAACTCTAGTCCACTAAAACTATTGTAGGTCTAATATATTTCAATTAATTCAGTCTCAATGTTCTGCAGTTATAGTAAAGATGTTAATAAATGCACTCTGATAT